AGTTTTTCATCACACATTTTCACGTATATTTAGTGTTAATATTGCTGCCTGCTGTATGTTAAGTTACTGTTTGCTAAATCAGCACCTTAAGCTTAGCATCTGGTAAATCAGTTATTCTCAAATTTTAATTTTATTTAAAAAAAATTTTTTGTCATTCATGTTTTGGCCACTGTATTGTACCGTTGGTATTTTTATCTTCTGTGGGCAGATGGATCACATCTTGAGATTAAGAGAAGGAATCCATGTCCAGACTGTATGTATGTGTGCTGACAGATCAGTCTGTATTCGGTATTTGATAACAGAGGTCTCCCTTGGGCTCGGATCCTTGTTGGCATGTTTTGGCTGCTGTTAATCTTTTGGCCTGGTCTTCCCAGAAACCCTTGGGTGAAGATTAATCCAGTGACTTCATTTCAAAAAGATGGTCCACAATGTTTAGTTTAAGATTAGACGTACTGCTAAATTGGGAGAATGAAGCAGAAGACCACGTGCTCCACAGAACAGAAAATAGGCTACAACGCCCACAGACCTGGGCCTCTCAACAATGCCTCTGGTTCCTGTCTGAAATTCTGATTTGTTCCATAAAGCAAAACAAACCATGTTTGAATGGGGTTGGGATAATATATAAAATATTTATAATCTATAGTTTTATTTTGAAAAAATAAATAAAATAGCCAACATTGTGAATATCGCAATTATTTTAAAGATGCTTTATATTTAGCCATTAACTTTACTAAACACCATTTGGACAGTTTTGTCTTCAAACTTTGACTTATTTGCATATGTTTTGTTTAATTATTTTAGAAGGTTATTTTAGTATAAAAGATCAATTAATTGTAATTAAAAAAAATTACAATTCTTGATGGTACATGATCTAGCCTACATGGCAGTTTAGTTCTGAATGGAATTAAAAAGCTGTTAAGCAGTTTCAGAGAATTTTTAAAAATATATAAATTCACAAAAATGATTTTATATACATAGAAAGCATATTAATTTGTCAAATAACTTCAGATAACTGAAAATGAAATCAAATGTTGTTCCATCATCATTCAGCCATAACAGATATATTTATGTACAAATGAAACAACATATTCTAACCTTTGCTTATTAAAATATATAAAAGAAAAAGTAATCATTCTAAATGGTATTATATTTTAAATGATTAAAAACGCCTTGGTGATAAATGCGTAAACTCTAGTGGTTTAAAGGACAGTGGCAATGACATGTAAAATTGCAGTTAATCAGTTTTGGGGGCTGCACTGTGATCCTTAAATAGTGTCTTTAATGTTCTTTAATGATTATTATTATAAATATGCTTTATAATAAAAAAGATTTTTGGTATATAAAACTATTGCTGCACTGAATGACATTTTAGTGCATGTCTCCTGTAAAATAATGTATGAAAAATAAAAATAGGAGCTTATAATGTACGGAAAAAAACAAAGCTGTATTAAACTTTCATTATTTTGATGCTTGAAAACCCCATTTCACCCAGTCAGTTCAGTCATGAAACTCTAGATGGCGCAGACTGATAGGTCCTTTACATGCAATCACCTACTTCATGGCACAAGCTGATGATTTATATAGTTCAGAGAGCCCCGAAACCCTCCACCTCTCCCAGCTCCACCTGTCTAGATCTGGCAAGGGATTTATGTATGCCTATTCATGCTGCAGCAGCATATCTTACATGCTCACAGCAGCGGGTCTGTACTTGCTTTGCAGCAGCAGCGTAACAAGTCTACTTCACCAAGACCAAATATATTAACGTTGTAATATCTATTAATACGCTAAAATCATTCTAAGAGTTTATAATGAATGTATGTATTGAGTGTTCAGCACTAAAATCCAGTGATTTCTGGCTGCTGCAGTAATGATTTGAGCCGTGAATGATGGTGTGATGACTTTAAGTGTGTGGAAATATGCTTGTTGCTTTTACAGAGCACTATCTTTCATCTTATAAAGAAAACACCCAATTGCAACCTTTTTCCAAACCAGCTGGCTTTCCAAAGGTTGTGCCCTTGAGCAATTACACTGTGATGAACTCCACAGCTGTGCCAGAAATGTCTTTCCCCTGGTTTTAGTATTTAAACATCATCGGTTCCACGGTGGGCCTCATCTCTGGCCGTTGCCCTTTCTTCCTCCTTCACTCCCTTTGTCCCTAATGCTGGCTGGATGATGCATGAGACAGATCTGGAGTGAAAGGTCATGTCCACAGGAGAGAGTGTGAGCTTTAAAGAAGAGTGTGTGTGTTTGAGCAAGAGTGTGTGACGTAATCAGAGCGGCTCTGAGGTGCGGGCAGCTGATGGAGTGATTAATAAGGGTCCGTCAGTAACCCCCGGCGACAGGCACTGCTGTGGCTGAGAGCGATTGACCCGTTGATGCACTGTCTTTGACTGTGTGAGTGTCATCATTTCTTCCTCAGCGTAATTCATCACCGCCGCAATCCAGACAACACATTTCCTTTCTTGACCCAACAGTCCCCTACTGAACCGAGCCCTGGATTCTGACCCATAACCCCACTAGCCTGAAAACGACATCCTCCACTCTACTACTAAAATGAAACCTGGCTAATAACCTCTGAAACAACCCTGTTCCTGGAGTCCCCCAACATTGCACATTTTGAATGTGTCCTTTTTCTGAGACACCTGCTTCATGTCATGGAGTCTCTACTAATGAGCTTGTTGACCTGAATGGGGTGTATTTGATTAGGGAGAAGTTCAAAATGTGCACCGATCTCCACTGCTCTGAAACATCCTAAACACCCTCGTAATCAAAGCTGTCACCACAATGTTCTTAGATCTTTTACTTTAGACTTTGGATTTGCATTGTTGTGTAGTAAAGTTCCAGTTAGGTGAACCTCTGAATTCATATAGAGAAAAGACCAAGATCAATAAATACGAGGGTCTAAATACACAGACTGAGTTTAACATGAAGGAAACTCTCATTTTAGCAGTTTTAGTGTTGATTTGGTATTATTTATATACTAGTAGTATTCCTATAATTTTTTACAAAATGTATTTAAAAATGTAAGAGTTGTAAATTATACATTTAAATTTGTTGTATATTAGTTTGTTTTTCATTTTAGTTGACGTTTTAGTAATGTTATGTGCTCTGTCAGTTCTTAACTAAAGCTTCTATTTACCTTTAATTTATAGTTATTTCAGTTTTTAGTTTTAGTAATTTTAGTACTTTTTAAAGAGGTCATATGATGCGATTTCAATTTTTCCTTTCTCTTTGGAGTGTTACAAGCTTAAAGAAGATCTGTAAAGTTGCAAAGACTAAAGTCTCAAATCCAAAGAGATATTCTTTATAAAAGTTAAGAGTCAACCACGCCTACCTAAAACGGCTCGTTTAAACACGCCCCCATATGTCTACATCACTATGTGGGAAGATTTGCATAACGCCACCCAAATGTTCACGCAAAGAAAGAAGGCGTAACTTTGATTCTCGCTGTAGTATTGTTGTTGCCGTGTGTTTCGTTGTGTCGGCCTCCACTCACTCAAGCCAAGTCCTCTTTTGGAAGGACACGACTAGAAATCAGTGGTTAAGTTGTATTTACAACACTGTTCCAGAATAGTTCAACCCAAATATTAAGATGTGTGCAGCGCATTTTATGGAGGACTGTTTCCTGATCCTGCACAGTATGGTATGGGTGTAACATTTCCGTCACAAGCTTGTGGTATCCAGCCAATCACAACGCACTGGATAGCTGGCCAATCAGAGCACTGGGTGTAACATTTCCGTCACAAGCTTGTGGTATCCAGCCAATCACAACGCACTGGATAGCTGGCCAATCAGAGCACACCTCGCAGATGACTTTTCAGACCGATGAGCTTTGTAAAAATCGACACGTTTCAGAAAGGCAGGGCATAGAGGAGAAACAATAATGCACAGTATGTGGAAAATAATGTGTTTTTTAACCTTAAACCGCATAAACACATTTCATTACACCAAATACACAAAATAATGTTCTTTTTAGCAACATCATATGACCCCTTTAAAAGTTTATTTATATATTTATATCTTTATTTCAGCTTATTTCAATTACCAAAAGCAATTTTTTATCTGTTTTAGTTCACAATAACAGCACTGGGTAGTTTTGCATCACCATAATCGGAGCTCTTGATGCATGGCTCGAATCTGGTATAGGTTTTTAGTTTAACTTTTATTAATTTTGTTTAAAAAAAATTATTATATTCAGCTCAAACTGTTTCTTTTTTCAGCCAAGGCAACATTGGCAACATTTAATCTTAAATGGGAACCTGATCTCCAGTGTTACCCAAATGCCTCCGTGGCGCCAGCTAAATTCATAAACAAGCAGCTAATGTAAACACTAGCATTTCTTTGAGCCTACACATTCCACTCAATAACTACAGATTTCAATACATGTACAAATACCTGAGAGAAACTGACTTTTTTTAAAATCTTCTATATACTCTTTAGCTTTCAAAGTTTCCTCAAACTTCCCTTTGAAAGTCTCCATTCTGGTCAGGCTTCCAAAAGAGTGGGAGGTAGATTCAATTAATTGAGGCACAAGGTGGTAAACAGGCTAGCAAACACTGCCAATAGTTTCCATGGTGCTTCAGAACAACATTTCAAAAACTCAGTGTGTTTTATAAAATATGAATCATGATTCTGGGGCGTAATTCTGTCCTTGCCAGGGTCCTGGCTCAATTTCCTTCTCTCAGTAGCAATCTGAAGAACCCAAGCTAGACTAATTAACGACGTAAATACATTTATAGACAAGTATTAAAGAACTGCCCACACCAAAAGTTTCATTTTGAAGTTCACGTGACTTGGTTTGCCATAATAAAAATGGCAGTTCTGCCAAAAAGTCTCTGCAGCCCCTGAAGACCACCTCGGAAAATACATTTTACCCTTATGATTTAGTGTATCAAATGTCTTTTTTGAATTCTGAGGAATGTGTGTATGGGCACTGAGTGGCATTTGTGCCCCATCTACACACGCCGTCATTTTCCTTTTCTCTTTTGCTGTCTATTTACCTTTTGCATTGCATTCCACACACGTTCCTGATCAGGCCGCTTGCCTTCAAGGGTGTCCATGGTGTCTGCCATTAGAGCCAGCAGCTGCCAGGAGGAGATAAAGATTATCACAGCTCAGTTCACACAAACGCCATAACTTTTCTAAACACTGCACCTTTAAAGCTAATTAAAAAATCATTTGTTGGCAGCTGATTCTTATAAGTCATCCCTCATATAATGAGGACTTTCTTCTTGTTCCCCTTTGGGTGGTGGAGAGAGGGAGGGGGTGGTCTTGGGTTTTTACAAGGCTGGTGGTTAGAAATTGAAACAATGTGGACAAATTGAGGAACAACACTCGTCCATCACAGGGCACAGCAGATGGGAATGTACATGCTGCACACTGAGACCCATTTAGCTGAGAGAGAAGGAAGGGGAAGTTAAAGAGTGAAAGAGACACTATGAAACGGAGAAAGAGACAAAAGAGAGAAAGTATATGGGTTAATGACATGGCATTGATTTATCATTTATGAATTAATATTAAATTAATTTAAATATTTTACATCTTTATGGGCAAGACATCTTGAGATTGTAATGAAGAAGAAAAAAATCCCATGAAATGACTGGGGGAAAAAATCTTGTTATTGAATAATTATTTCAGGTAAATAATAATATGAATATACTTAAAGTATATTCTTTTTGAAAAATGATATTGAAATGATAAATGATATCAAAGTCAGTTTGTTGTAGGAATAATAACCTGTATAAATAAGGTTATTATTCCTATAACCTGTAGGAATAAATGTGTAAAACCAAACTCAAAACTAAATACATAAATACATTTTTTGTACGTATCAAACTAAAAATGTATGTACCGTACTTATATATTTATATAACCAATTTATAATATCTATATATATTAAACATTTGTTGAAAACAACATTTTTCAAAAAATACTAAGATTAAGAATGTTCAGACCCATTTTGCTGAAGGATCAGTTATTTAATTAAAATTTTTAAAAAGTGAAGTGGAATAACATTATGAAGATATTTAATACTATTTCTTTTTAAATTGTCCAAAATATCAACGTCAAACCTGCAGGAAGGAAATTATAGAACAGGGTATGACATCACAGAGAAGACATTTAGCAGATGCTTTTGATCCTCTTTTGTAAGTTGCTTTGGATCAAAGCAAATTGTCAAAGAGCCAACGATTTTCATAATATACAGTTTCAGGTTTATTAGAAAACTTTTAGCAAGCTAAAAAAAAATGTTGAGAAGAAATAGTTTTTTTTTTAAGTCTGTGAACCAGTGGTCCTCAACTCTGGACCTCGAGATTCACTTTCCTGCAGATCGAGGATCAAACCTGGATTAAACTTGATTAGGGTTGGAGCTAAACTTTGGAGGAAAGTGGACTTGAGGTCCAGAGTTGAGGACCCCTGCTGTAGACCATCATTAAAATGAAAAAATAAAATAAAAATAAATACAGTTAAAATGTCATAATACTTTTAAAAACAACTTTTGCTGAAAATTATGTATGACTTTTTTCAAAAATGTCTAAGATTAATAGGAACTTGGCACATGTGATTCAAATTGGATGGAAGTGGTTGGTCACGTGCTTTTACCAAGTGCTGTTTAAGTAAGGGTATTCTGCCTTTGTGTGCTGTACAGTTTATAGAAAGTGGAGTCACAACACTTTTTTTCACATAATCGCTCTCTACACTCTTATTTCTGTTCATGAATGTAAGTACATAACATTTCCAGGAGCAGCATGTAGCCCTGAATCCATATTCACCAAGATGACAAAAAAAGCTACAGTATATACTTTCAGCTTATTTATAGAGCTTCTTTCAATGAACAGAGATGTGTGCTTCTCTGTTGTAGATTTCTATTTAAGTACTCATTTAGGTCTTTGTAATTTGTCAGTGTAATTCTGGGAAGTGTTGTATGGCGCCCATACAAACATCACGCTAATTGAACGCCCCGTGGCTCTCCATTCATGACAGATTTGGTCACAATCTGGCATACATCACACTCTATTGATCTGGGCTAATCTCACCAGTGTGGAGCGCTAATCTAGTAAAGAGGCAATTATGGTGCTTCAGCACTATATGCCAGAATGAGATTTATGCCACCTCCTTCTTCTATTCTTTCTTTTTTCTCGCTCATTTTCTCTCTTCTGTTCTGTCACTTCTATATCTGCACGCACAATAGCAGTTGTCTTCTATGTCTGCGCTAGTTTCTCTTTCAGTCTCATAAATATTCACAGCAGAGCTGTTTTATTGCCGTGCATAATTCAGGCCTTTATTAAAACAAGCTGGCCCGGTTCTGCTCTTGTGGTGTGATGTTACTTGATTGCATCAACCCTCTCTCATAGTAAGACCAAGGAGGTCTATTGCTTGAACTTAGTGATTTTCTCATAGAGCCACAAAAATAGATATTTTATGTCTATTAACAACTCCAAAAAAGCATCAGGCTATAGGCTACTGTGAAATGTTAGCGGTACATATGTTGCTTGTAAAACATTTGTAGTCAGACTCAGAATTCATAACTTTTGCCTGCGTTTCGATTCAGTTTCCATTTGCAAGCTCCTAATTCAATTTATTTCTGATTTATTTGCATATATTTTAGTTAGAATGTCCATTTTGCTTGTGTAAGAAATGATTCATTAAAAGAAACGACTAATGCATGCAAGTTGTTCTGTATGTTTTTGATTCACTAAAAAGAACAGACTCACAGCACCTTCCAGCAGTGGCTAACTTGGGTCAGAGCTCAGTGAGAGCAGTTACCATCCGAAACTGCTCTCAGATCAGGGTTAAGTGTGTTTAGGATGGCCCAGAGCTATCAACAGATCTGCATAAGTAGCTCAGCCTGCTCACAGCGAGGGGAACACTTAAACAGCGATGAAAGGAAATAAAGGAATGATCTCTATGTAAATGTGCGTTTAGACTAAATTCCCACTTCAGACTGATCAGATTCCGATAGAGAATGTTTCTAATCTTGCATAAGATATAGCATGCAGATTTCGTTTCATTCTTGTATTTTTCAGTGCATGCACACTCCAGGGATCACCACTCCGTTTCATTCCAGCTGCCTGCTTCCTCCACCTGTACTCGGAGAGGAAGCTTGGCCCTGTGCAGCGCTTTATCTGCATATTTTAAATGTCTTTTGGAGGAACATTCGTTTGAAGTCGGCGATGAGGAGAATAGCTTTGTTTCCATGTAACTTTTTTCTCTTTCATCAAATGACATTAAAAAGCACAAGAGAAAAGTAGAAATCTGCATCCAGAAATTGGCTACAGGACTTTCTGCCATGAGAATATACAAACACATGAAACTCTTATCACTTTTTCTTCAATGGAAAACAAAATAAGTTATTAATAGCAGAACACCTATGCTGCTTTATTCATTTTAAAAGAATTATACATTGAAGATGTGACATACACTACAAGTGCATATTGAATGCAACTAAGTGTATTTTTTTTTACAAGGGCATGGACCACTTTTCTGATGCTTTATAATGCTTGTTTTTCATTGATGGAGCTTCACAGTGCCTGGTCCCTATTTGCTTTCATTGTATGTAAATAGAATCATGTATGTTTTTCATCTCTCCCTTTGTATTCCATGGACGAGAAACATTATTTAAATAAAGTGAGGGGAGAAGAAGAATAGTAACTGCCTCACCAGTTCTGTGTCAGAAGGACTGATGTCCTGAAGGTAGGGTGCGACCGCCAGCTCAGCCAGTGTGTACTGCAGTACATGCATATGTTCTCTGAACCTATTCAACTGTCCTAGGACACTAGCATACTGCAGTCGCTCTATGAGTCCAGATCCTTGGGAAAATCCCACCTAGACACACATCAAATGCATGTTTATTTATACACTGCATATAAACGTAGATATAAAGGGACATAATAATTCTCTGTGCCACTAGTGGCACTAAAGGGAATTGCAGTCTGCTTGTTTGAGCAGACCGTCTCAGTCTGGCGCAACCAATGGAGTGAGTTTCGCCACTGTTTTTTTTGCAACAATTCCAGAAAGGAGAGTTTGAAATAGTTTTGTATTTTTTGCTATTTAATTTGGTGCTTTTAGCAATTACACATTATGGGCCAGATTTACTAAGCAGGGCAAATTAACGTTAGAGCACAATTCCATAAAAGCGCAGATGGGAGAGGAAAATTCTGCAGGTGATTTACTAACAATGCGCTCATTAAAGAACACCGATGCAGCCAAATCATTTCCATAATGACCAGCGCAATCTATCAAGAGCAGCGCAAATTACCGCCTGCTTTAAGACATACTGTTTTTGGGCGTTAAATAGCAGTAATTTGACGAGCGCAAACATTAGTAAATCGCAATGCATGATTTGTTTTAATACTCCTCCCATAAATTTTGCGTCTGAAAGGGAACACCTACAAATGCATATTCGATAAAGTCAGGAGCAAAAACAACTGTGTCCACGCCTTTTCAGCGATAATTCTTCACTGCGCGATTTTAGTAAATCCTGACAGTACTATTTTAATGCCAAAAGACCGTTTGCGCTGGCGCAAATTGTTAGTAAATCTGGCCCTTAATCTTTAAAGGAGTAGTTCACCCCAGAATAAAAATTTGTCCAATAGGTGGCGTAAACCACTTTTATGTTGTTTTGTAGCCATTCCAAAACATTTCTGACATCTACTGGACTGGAGTGTGAAGTATTTTGGATTTTTTGCTTAATTTAAATACTTTCCACAGAGAACCTGAAACTGAACAAGTTCACCAATCCTTGCGAAAATACATAGTCACTCAAACAATAGCAAGGCAACTCGCACTATTTGCGTTAGGGCTTTAACGCATCTCTCAACACAAATGCCATTGGCTGCTTTGACGTCTACATGAATCCGCCGCAGATAATGTCACAGGAGTGTTTATGGCAACTGAATGTGTTGTTATTGGGTTGTGTGTGTACAAGTGTGTTTCTGTCCACGCCTTTTCAGCGATAATTCTTCACTGCGCGTTTTTAGTAAATCCTGACAGTACTATTTTAACGCCAAAAGACCGTTTGCGCTGGCGCAAATTGTTAGTAAATCTGGCCCTTAATCTTTAAAGGAGTAGTTCACCCCAGAATAAAAATTTGTCCAATAGGTGGCGTAAACCACTTTTATGTTGTTTTGTAGCCATTCCAAAACATTTCTGACATCTACTGGACTGGAGTGTGAAGTATTTTGGATTTTTTGCTTAATTTAAATACTTTCCACAGAGAACCTGAAACTGAACAAGTTCACCAATCCTTGCGAAAATACATAGTCACTCAAACAATAGCAAGGCAACTCGCACTATTTGCGTTAGGGCTTTAACGCATCTCTCAACACAAATGCCATTGGCTGCTTTGACGTCTACATGAATCCGCCGCAGATAATGTCACAGGAGTGTTTATGGCAACTGAATGTGTTGTTATTGGGTTGTGTGTGTACAAGTGTGTTTCTGTCATGTTTCCTTGATGCCCTGAGTTGCGCTGTATGTAAATGAAGTCATTATAAATTGAAAAAGGGACGCTGACCTTTTCCACAGAGAGTAACAATACAAAGAAGAAGAACAAACACTTTAAAAAAGTGTCAGCATAAGGTGCTTTTGTTTGAAACTGACAGCTCCCAGCGCCAAAGAGTCCCTCAGAGCCGTTTCGCACAAGCCGCTGCAGTGCTACAAAAGCAACTCCGTGTTCCCTGATGATTCATTATGTCAAATACCCTTTGGCATCTTGTGTTACACGCATTCTTCTGATGCTGAAACTTGACAAAAGGCTACAAAATGTTAGAAGTCAAGTTGAAAAACTGCTATTCTTCGGCTATTTGTGGTACGCTCAACTCCACCACCCCCCTTCTCAAGGTCGCATCTTAACCGCTTTCCCCTGTGGACCGTTTTTGGCCTGTCGAGGTCGCTTGTCTAAATGATGCTCCACTCTATGCCTTTCTAGACTCCTTTTATTTCGCGTGAGCTCTGTTACTCTCCAGTGGCATTCATTCAATTTATGGTCATTTTTATTACCAACATACATCCCCCAGCATGCATCATTTTTCACCACTACTGTCTCAGTACTTTTGGGCGTTTTTTCATCACGCAGCACTGTTTACTTTCCATAAGCCAAGCAAGAGAGACAGTGAGCAGGTTAGAGAAAAAGAAAGCAAGAATAGAGTGTCTTTGGCCTTTAAAAAAATATATATAAATATAATTAATAGTATCTCCTTTAGTTGTTTTTTTTATATAAATTTTATGTTATTTTTTATTAGCTATAATATTTTATACATTTTTTTATTGTAATTTTTTAAAAATAAAAATGAACTAAAAGTATATATTAGGGCAATCAATTAGTTACTTTAAAAAAAATTTAAGTAATGGATATGCTGTATATATGTTATAATATATAATCAATTATATTTATATTTTACATATACAGAGTTATTTTTCTAATATATTATAAACCTATATTTTCCTGTTCATACTCTTTATGTTTGGACACGGATGCAGTGGATCTGTCATTTCTGAAACTTTGATATATGAAATCCATCCTAAAATGCCCAGGGATAATTTAATATTGATGTACATTACTTAATAATTTATATATTTGTATGATTCTGTGACTCAGCAAAGGAGGGTGTGTGCGGAAATCCTGAAAAAAAGTACTGAAATCCGCTGTACTGCTTGACAGGTTGAGTTCTTCATTCTTATATTTATATTTTACATATACAGAGTTATTTTTCTAATATATTATAAACCTATATTTTCCTGTTCATACTCTTTATGTTTGGACACGGATGCAGTGGATCTGTCATTTCTGAAACTTTGATATATGAAATCCATCCTAAAATGCCCAGGGATAATTTAATATTGATGTACATTACTTAATAATTTATATATTTGTATGATTCTGTGACTCAGCAAAGGAGGGTGTGTGCGGAAATCCTGAAAAAAAGTACTGAAATCCGCTGTACTGCTTGACAGGTTGAGTTCTTCATTCTGAGAATGAATGTGTTGCCACAGATTTCATCACAGTGGAGATGAAATCAACTCTGTGTTTTAATCGAGAGCTGATGGCTGTGCTCGGCTGGAGAATAACTGACTAATGTAATTTAGCGTCGTGTCTGGGCCAATCAAACATTTGCCGTTGCTGCTCTAATTCAATCACCGTCCTCTGAAATAAACGCCCTAAGAGTTCAACCTCCAAATGAAATGAAAACTTCATCTGTGGGCATGTTTGTGTCTCCAGTAGTCCATTGTGAGATTGTAGAAAGATTGCAATTATTAGTGGATGTGCCAGGGATACTGACAGCGAGGGCTTGTTAGTCATTGATGGCCCAGCAAGTGTATATAATTAGGAGTGTTGGCTAGAGGAAGCATCACTAACACTATTGCTCATACTTGGGTAAGTGATTTGAACAAAGTCTTAAGCCAATATGTTAACCTTCCAAATGTAACTCTTTTGCACAGTTTGTGCTGTAGACATGAATGATATATTAAATTGTGTGGATGACTGAACTATTCTAAATGATCAGATTGACTATTTTTGGAATGACATTATGGTGACTAAACGATGATAGAATTTTAATTTTCATCTCTTTAAAGGGGTCCTATTATGCTCTTTTACAAAGTCTTGATTTAGTTTTAGGGGTGTACTAGAACAGGCTCTCATACTAGGTTGTTCGAAAAACATTATTTTTCTAATATTTTACATTATTACAGCACCTCTCTCCCCAGTCTGGCATGAACGGCTCGAATAGTTCCTGTATCAAATGAAAGCCTGCCTTCTGAAATACGAAATGTGCTGTGATTGGTTAGCTGGGCCAGTGTGTGTTGTGATTGGCACCACTCGGTGCCTGGTCGGGAAATTTCATGCCCCTTACCATAGCCGCCTGCTGCAAGCTTCAATGTAAATATTGAAAATCAATCAAAATCAAATAAATTTGAGTGCGATTTAAACCCGGATGATTGTACCCACTTCATCTGCCTTGGGAAAGCTAGCGTGTCTCCGACATAGTGATAACACTTGTTGCCTTCTCTAGTGCAGCTCAACCAGGTCTCGTCGTAGTCCAAACGAGTCGTTTGTTGTAGTTTTTGAAAAGTGATTTCTGTTAAATAAAATATCTCCTTTTGAAGTGTACTAACTTTGTAACTTTGCAGATCTGTTTTATGCTCAAACAGCAACATTACAGACTAACTAAAGTTGAAAAAGTGAAAAAGCATAGTAGGACCCCTTTAACAAACAGCATAATACTTATAAACATACTGTTGGACAGTCATTAAGCATCACACAATTTACAAGAACATAAACCCACACTTAGCTTGGTGCACTTAATGAAATCTAGAACTGGCAGGATCTTCTTTCCTTGCATCTCAAACATCATTTCTAGGTCTCTATAGCTGGGAGGCGTGAATGGAGAACTTTGCCCTGTAAAAAAAAGTCAGACCAACAGTGTGTAAATGTTCAGTAAGCCTTACAAATGACTTATTTTATCATTTACAGTAGGGCCCAAACACACTGAAAACCTGGGATTAATGCTAAGAGAAAAACAGAACATTTTAGAAACAAAATAATTGACATGACATTAAAGATTAGATAGATAGATAGATATGTTAGACACCTTAGAACGACAGAGACAGACAGAACTATAGATACAGTTTAGTTTATAGTTTTTTAACCTTTTTCTTTTCCAAAGCTGAAAATTGTTTAATAAGGCACAAAAACAACAATCAAAAACAATTAGTTTGGCAGGTAATGCTGAGAGAAGAATTGGAGGCAGTGGAGGTGTTATGAAGGCTCAGAGGGAGTGAGTTCAAGAGTTTGAACACACTACCACCCATTGAGGAAAGTTGAATTTTCATCAACTAATTATAATATTATGCATGATAGGAGCATCGCTAGTGGGGGAAAAGGTGGGACTGACTCCTGGGCCCATGAGCCACAAAAATCCCCCCTAGGGCCCCCCCATTACAGCGATTTCAGGGCCTGAAACCATACAGGGTTGTGTTATTCTACTGTCTATGCAATACATGTTTGCCTGCAACATTGGTATATCCTAACACTGTTATTCATAGTATAGAGCGATGCTGCAGGTAAACACATCTGCAGCATACAGAACAGCCTCTGTGAACTGTGCATAATATTATGACGAGTTGAAAATGGGAGGCCGATCATGCAGTATCAGTACCTTTCAATAAGAAGTTTGAACAGCATCTTGAGGATGATTGATTAATATAATGACCCATACAGAGACATTACACAAATGTCATAGATTTTCTTCCACTATAATTGAGATCATTCACAAATACAGCCCGAACTCTGCCGACCTCTCCTGCTCTACTGTGCAGCCTGGCTACCGGCAGTATATCTGACATCCATGTCATCTTTGCCTCTCTGGCTTTGCACGAACCAAGGTTAATTGAGAAATGTTATGCCATTGATGTCAATACATTGATTGGCCCCTGTAATCTCTTGTCTGCTTAAACAGAGCAGAAAAGAGCTGAGTTAATAGGAATTTCTCTTACTTGAAAGATGATGATTGTGTGACCTTGGAGGTCAGTCAGGTAAATTTGTACATTTAACATATGACACAGCGTTAGCCCTCGATTTCAATTGGACTAATTTCCATGCACTACTAGATAATTAATTTTTTGTTGACCTAACAAAGTCATTGTAGTGAAAAAGTGTGACTAGAATAGAAAAGATCCCTCAGGGATTGTATTAAAACATCTTTGTCATTGTAATGGTTGTGAGGATTGAGAGGTCTATTTGCACTGCGTATTCGACGCCGCAAGCTTTGTGATCCATTTAGCTTGCCTGAGGTTAGCGCATTCTCGCTCATGTTCTTTCACAAGAGAGTACACTCCGAGAGCTCCTAACGATGTCACCCAGCAGGTGAATGTGTGATGTCAAAGATGTATTGTGATTATACCATGTCCTGTTCAGCACACTCAGAGTCTGAGAGCCTTCATCTTAACACCATGAACATGCAGTGCTAAAGTCTTCAGTTTGTGTTCTGTGGAATCAGATTATAAACTCTCTTCACCCAATATAGAGCCCACACCAACCTGTGAATGTGGGACACCTCCTGTGGAGAAGTTTATGTAGGAAGTCTCCATCATTTCTCCTTCTGAAGCCAAGCGTGAGGAAGTAACTCTGTGTGGATGAAGGTTGACTCCAGTCTGTTGTCTGTGGCAACAAATGACCTCCACGCGGGTCTAGATAGAGATGAAGAACGGCCATAATTTTTTAAAAATCATCTTAAACAGGCAATTATCTATCTATCTGTCTGTCTGTTGTTCTATCCATCGTTCTACATGTCACATGTCTGGGTATCTGTCTGCCTCTAGATAGATAGATGATAGATAGACAGATATATGTTGAACTTAATTTACCACAGTGCTTCACCTGTTTATTTTATTTTAACCCTTGTGCGTCAATTAAAAAAAGTTACACATAGATCCATTGTGGACAAAAAATGTCCATGTCAAAAAACTGTCATAAAAATTTGAAGCTTGGGAGCACAGAGTTAAGTTTGGTCTCATTTTAAGAAGACCCATGGCAGATTATTGTTGAAGTAAAAAAAATAAAAAGTTAAAAAAATTAAACCCCAAAAAAGTTCTAGATGTTTATGTTTATGAAAATGATTTATGAACAATGTTTTATATAAAATATACATTTTATGAAACATGTTGAACTCTATACCTGCTAGAATATCAAAGCCACAAATCTAAACAAGTTGTGTTCCAAATTTGAGGTTGATATCTCAAAAAATGAGCTTTCAGTAAGATTTTGTTTGGGCGCAGTACCACATTTTCCCTATTAGATGCCAGCAAAACTCTGCTGGTGCACACAGTGGTTGGATTTGTGATTTGCAGTAGAGTTTCTCTCTCTCAAATTTTACAAGAACACACACGCACAGTCGCACACACAATCTTTTTTTATGACACACATACAAACCACACTCTGACATCCATTCCAACACACCCACACAATTATAGCTTTATTTATACAATTATAGCATTATTTATCCAATTGGCTCTATAATATGCAGAAGCAGAAAACAGGAATTTTGCTTCATAGGGCAATTCTGAAAAAATGGCATCATCTGGCAAAAAATAGTCAAAAATTAAATTTTAAAGCCTTGCCAACAGAATGAAAGCCTATTAACAAAAATGGCATCATTTTACAGTTGAATGGCACGGCGATTAAAAATAGCCGTTTTAATGGCTTTCAATGGGGACGTTTTTGTCCATGAGGTCCTGAGAGGAACAATTATTTGTACCTAGTGCAAAACAGATTTATTAAAGGAAATGGAAGTGAAATAGTAAAATTCCAGTAAAAATACACACCTGTGCCAAAATGTATGCAGTTGGCAATAACACAATTGCCAAAAGGCAAAATGATAAAAAACTGAAAAGTACAAAAAAATCCAAAAGGTCGCACAAGGGTTACATATAGTTCGATAAATATTTATTTGTGTCATTCCAAATCAGCTTCCTGTGGGGTGTGGCCAGTTGACTTCAGATTCCAACAAGTTTTGCATGTCGGGCATATGCAGTTGATGGAAATATAATAAATGCTATGTTTAATGTTTGTTTACATTTGTACATTGAACCATTATGATACTGGATTGGGTGGCCACAGATGAACAGCACTGTACTAGATCACATATACAGAGATTTAATCGATGTTAATTTGATTTAGTTGATGCGATGCTAAAAGTGACATTATGTTCTATTTTGATGGAATCCATAAATTTCTTTCAAAGAGATTGCATCAACAGATGGCTGAAGGCGGTACATAAAGACAAGGACAGCGGATGCAGAGTGCTGAAGTGACATGGATGTTGACAACCCTGTGATGAGTGACTGTTCTCCTCTAGGGTACTAAATTTAAATTCAATGTGTCTTTCAGTGTCACACATTTATGTCATGGCGGATTATTTCTCCACAACGGTGAACATTATGCTAATTTAATTTGTTAAAAAAGAGAAGATACATGGTAAAAAAAAGAAAAAAGCCAGCATCCCTGAGGAATGAGAATGTAGACATGGAGCACAGCAGGGGATGGATGACTACTCCATGGAATTTGTGCTGTATAAAACAGATTGCATCATCATCTCTGCTGAAAAGGTTTGTCTTTACAGTTGTCTTTTGTCTATATTTCACAAAACGACTCAGCGTTATAGCCTTAAAATAAAATTGTCACTTACACTCATGTTGTTTCAATCCTTTATGTCCTTTCTTTCGTACATGGATTTCAAAAAGAGACGTTTTTCCAGAATGTTCACACTGCTTTTTAGAAGTCTTTTAATATAGCATGCAAGTTTTTTTTTTTGTAGCTTTACAGTCCCTGCTAACCCTTTACTTTCATTGTTTGCACCATTTATAACATTAACATCAAGGTTAACATCTCATTTTGTGGTCTATGGAAGAAAGAAATCAGTGGCTTGAAAAGAAATGATGGTGAGTAAATGATGACAGAATTTTATTTTTAACTGGACTATTCCTTACAATATACAGCTTTCATCTTATCCAGGTTTTTGTGGCCTGTTCTGGAGAGTGTCTGTGCTGCGGTGTGAATGCATCATAAGATTGTGTCCTGGGGACAGACACCCTGCTGTGTCAGGATGTTCCGAAATTTTCATGGTGAATCTACGTTTTAACTTTCAATAAAGTGGAATGCTCTCAGACATGTTTTTTCCACTGTGTCTCCGTGAGGCGTCTTTGAATCGTTTGATCCGAGCAGGGGAAAGCATGACATTTGCGTCACTAGTGTGTATCTTTTGAGCATTGCTTTGAAAGAAAAAAATAGCTTCAAATAGCTGTTCTTTTCATAATGAATTAATCCAGAATAAATGCATAATCTGAGATTATGGTTATTTAATACCCATAACCCAGAGATTCTCTTTAGTTGCAATACATAGAAATCTCCTGCATTATTTATTGTCTATTGTATTTATTGTTACTGTCTGAATCATTAATTCAACTGATTCATTCAAAAACACTGATTCTTTTGGAAATTAAACAAGTGAGCGACTTTACGAATTAGTTCATTCATCATTCACTCCAAAGATTTTCTCCAATATACTTCATTTAGGAACAAAACAAGCAACTGCGTTTAGGAGTGAATTACTGAAACAGTTCAAAACTGATTCATTCAGACACGAAACAAGTGATAGGCTTTATGAATTTCATTCAGTTGATTCATTCAAAAATATCGATTCCATCAGAAACACTGACCGACTTCATGAATAAATCGTTGAATAATTCACTCAAGCGATTAGTTCAAAAACGTAATGTGTGAATCGTTGAATCACTCATTCAACCTTTTCATTCAAATACACTGATTGATTCTGAAACAGACTCTATAATTCGTCTGAAAACAAAAACGCTAATTCTGACCATCACATACACATTTTGACCAATTCGATTCTCTCTCTGGCAATAACTCTCATGTGCTTTACATGCCTTACAATGCAATGACCTCAGCTGACAGTCGCTGTAAGGCTACATTAACTTACAAATGAAATTAACAACTCATCTCACCAAACACACATACAATCAACCAGAGGTATAATCATGCATTGAGTAGTACTGTGTGAATGGTTGTTTAAATTGCTGCAAAGTGTGTAATTTGAAGTAATTCAGGTCTAAGGTCAGGATTTCGATAACATATACAAACTGAGTGCTGAATTATATATTTGTGAATAGTGGGGGGGTGTAAAAACGGTGCAGGCTAATTGAAACATGAAGGTGTGCTCTTGACCTGCCTGTGTGAGAAGCCCAGGCCTCAGTGTTTGAACAACAAAGAGAGCTACCTTACATCTCTGCATGACACAAGCTACACTAATTCATGACCTGTTGCTAGGGCAACACCTGCCTTAGACAAAGCTGAACCTATTAGTCAGACACAATCTAATGCCTGTGAACCTAAAAGCTTCCTATTTGAGTGCTTCATTGTGGAAGGTCTTTCTTTTTTTTCACTATTAAATAAGCAGATGCTGAATGTGGAGTGTCTTGATTTCCTCATACCAGTAAAGATGTAGTCTGTGAAGGCTGGATGAAGCTTCCGGAAGGCCTCCTCCATTTTCTCTATGATGTTTGAGGATGGTTTTCCAGACCAGGGAGTGAACATGACTGAGAAATTCTTCTCCAAAGAAAGCGCTGCCTCCAGGAGCCCCTGTGTGGAAGGGAAATAGAGAAAGGGATTTGTTTTTAATACACTTATTTCATTTACATATAATCAGATCATAAATACTTAAGAGTTACTGAAATGCACAATGTGATTTTATCATTATATTTCCTGATTATAATTTAGCTTTTATATTTTTCTCTGGCACTTCTGTTAGATTGGCATGTGGTTCTGATCATTTCAAAATAAAATATAATTATACTTTTAAAACATAGACGTGATTAAATCAGGGGTGTGTCAGATCTTATTCAGAGTTATGATTTATTTCTTATTCAAGCCGTTGGTGTGTGACTGTTTGAGGTAATCAGCCACCTCCTGTCAGAATATAATACGACTAAAATAATAAAGTATTACTATAATAAGCAGAACACCAAAACAAGCCTGTATATGTACCTATACACACACGCACACACGCACTCTCACACTCACATTGATATATATATACAGTATATATGTGTGTGCGTGCGAATATATAGTCTTGTCAAGTTTTATTTTTAGTATTATGCATATGCTATTGTAGTATTTAATAATATTTAATTTATAAATACATTTGAATAAACTGTAGTGATTTGTACTTTTGCCAATTTTATTAGCGTTTTTAAATATTTATATTTACATTTGAACTAACTATGTTATGTTATATGTTCTGTTGTCGTGTTATGTTATGTTGTTATGTGAGCTAAGTAAAATATATGTTATGTTGTTATGTTATGTTATGTTATGTCAGTTTTAGTAATTTTAGCACTTCATTTAGTTGCCAGCTTTGACAAGGCAACATTTCTAATTTGTGTTTAGGTTTTTTAAGTTTACAAATTTCCAATATTTAAAATAATACGATTTTTAATAGTTTTAGTTATTCTGACCAAGACATGAAGTGACCGTCATCAAGTGAACAGCCACCTAGCATTTAGCAACATAGAAGCCAATTAGATGTCTGCCTTTTGTACAAAATGTGTATCAGACAGTCAGATCAGGTTTGTAGGCTGTTTGAGGCTAACACAAAAATATAAATATTAACAATACTGACAAAAAATGTTTAATGGCAAACTTTGAAAGCATTATTTATAAAAGTAATCCAGAAATAACCTAAGTCTTGAACCCATGGTGATCTATTTGAGTTCTGTGAAACGATTTATGCCGTTTGACCATGAAACACCACTGACGAAAGCTTAGATAAGACACCTTTCACTTAAGGTACATCATGTTTAGTCTTTCTCTTTTGAATTTACAGCACTAACATCTGCAGGATGTTGCCCTCTTCTTCATAGGGAACACTGATAAAAGTGTTGCTGTGTATCATTACACTTTATTCTTCCCCAGAGGACAAAAATATATACAAAAAGACGCTCTTCTCTTCATTTACATTGGTCAAAACAGAATATTTCTTTGGCAGCAGTGGTGAATGCGTTTCTATTGTATACCAAACCTTTCAGTGGGGAAAAAATTAAACTCAGGGCAGGTTGGAGAAGATGAAAAAGCTCACCCTTACTGTGGGCCATCAAAATAAACACACGAGTTGAACTGCAATCCATGTGGGATGAAAATGGATAGAGAAATACATAAATGAAGAAGGAGTGGGCTTGATGTACACTGAGAGTTATCCTACACTCAAGTCACTTCAAGCAAATGCAAATTATGAGCAGATACAACCCACTTTAAGGAGGTCAAAATGCATTCATTTTATATGCTGTAAATTAGAAAAAAGCGCTTTTCCCTTGAGTTCGCATGAGAGAGGCAGCCTGGGCTAAGAGCACTTATATTAGTATGAATATTTCCACCATCTTGGAATTTTTAATAAAGTGAATTCACATTGCAGATTTAACTGAAAGAATAAACCAGGAATAATGAGCGTGAAGCCAGTATCACAGGAGCGTTACACAACACTGAACTGCCAAACTAAACGGTGTTCCTTCAAGTCAAAGGCGCTGATGTTTTACACACAGACGTTTTGTGATTGATACGCACTGATCTACCTCAGTCTGCACTCTTTTAAGCAATAATCAGTCATTGAGCTTTTGATTGGGCGCTGGGCCGCAGTGGGCACCCAGCAGCCCATCCGTCCTCACCTGCCAATACAGTTTGATGAGCTTGCTTATGTGCCGGTTGTTGCCTCCTGACAGCCAGTAAATGTAGTCAGCAATCATGGCGCCCCTAATGACAAGGACAGAAACAGGCGGACGGTATCAGACAACTTTCAATCAAGATGTTACATCATCTAGAGGGAGACGGCACAGGAGACATGGCACATACTCAATAAGGGAATTCACTCGACAGACACACATGCACACACCGTGCCGTGTCTCTCGATACAGTCAAAGCGCTTGCATCAGGCTGACTCATGCGGTTGCTGGCACAAAAGTCTCTCTCTTGCATGTATTCTTTCTCAGCGTGACAGCGTTGTGCTAATAATATTCATGTGTATGCATCACATCATCAAACTTGAGAGATGTGAAAGTATCAAATTGACCTGTGGTGACAAATCTTTATATAACAAGGCGAAATAAACTGCATTTATCTCTGATATGATGAGTAGAAACCATATGCATGTAATTACCTTCAATTTACGAGGGTCATGTGACAATGAGATTAGATGAAATATTTATCTTTGCATATAGTTTCAGATCAGTTTTTGAAAAAAAACAGAAGGAAGAATACAGTGTATACTGTATAACAAGTTAGTATATTATTCATTAAGTGAAACAAAAGGCATTATTTCCATGACAAACGTTCTAAACAAGAGTATTCTACATAGTTTGTCACAATATACAGTCAATATAAAATAATATTAAAATATAGTTTAAATATTATATATGCATATAGAAATATATACAAGTATAAAATAGAAATGTTTATTTTGTTATTATTTCAGTTTTGTGTTGAAAGAAAAATGTCTTTCAACAGGCTGATCAAATATGTCAAAATAAAGATAATAAAAAAATCCATGGATATCAAATCGTCAGAATTGAGAGATGTGAAAGAGAAAACTGACGCATGAGGGAGAAGAAAAAAGTGAAACAGAGGTCTAACCTGGCATAATATAATATAATATGATATTATATTATACTATATTATACTATATAAAACTATTTTACATCATGTTAATGAACAATGAGTTAATTAAAAATAAGTTATTTAAATATAATATAATAAATTGTTTAATAGGAATTCTCTGTGAAGTCTACTGTATGTTTGCTGCAGTTCTGGTTGCAATAAAATGATTATAATGCATTACATTCTATAAATACATACAAATTAAAGGGGTCATATGATGCTGCTAAAAAGAACATTATTTTGTGTATTTGGTGTAATGAAATGTGTTTATGCGGTTTAAGGTTCAAAAAACACATTATTTTCCACATACTGTACATTATTGTTTCTCCTCTATGCCCCGCCTTTCTGAAACACGTCGATTTTTACAAAACTCATCGTTCTGAAAAGCGAGGTGTGCTCTGATTGGCCAGCTATCCAGAGCGTTGTGATTGGCCAAATACCTCAATCGTGTGACGGAAATGTTACGCCCCTTACTATATTGTGATGCCCTGTCCGGCCGGAGCGACGAAGCATAAACATTAAAACCCATTACAAACTAGGCATTTTTTGCATCCAGTGGGGACGTCTTTTTACGCGTTGCGTTGTATCACGCCGCGTAAACATAAAACCATGTCTGCATTTGTGATCGGAGAAATGACCAACAACAAGTGCTACTATACACTGCTCAAAACTCGCAGTTGAATCGTCAATGGCAAATTCTTTAAATATAAAAAATGTACTTACAGTCTGTGAGACAGAACAGCCAGCATTGTAGTCTACTCTACCAGGATCAGGAAACAGTCCTCCATAAAATGCGCTGGACACATCTGAATATTTGGGTTAAACAGTTCTGGAACAGTGTTGTAAATACAACTTAACCACTGATTTATAGTCGTGTCCTCTTTTGGAAGGCCAAACAAAGTAGTTCCGCTTTCACAACGAAACACACAGCGTCTTCACGACATGGCGGCGGCAACAACAATACTACAGCGAGAATAAAAGTTACGCCTTCTTTCTTTGCGTGAACATTTGGGCGGCGTTATGCAAATCTTCCCACATTGTGACGTAGATATGTGGGGGCGTGTTAGAACGAGCCATTTTAGGTAGGCGTGGTTGACCCTTAACTTTTATAAAGAATATCTCTTTGGATTTGAGACTTTAGTCTTTGCAACTTTACAGATCTTCTTTATGCACCAAGAGCTCGTGACACTCCAAAGAGAAAGGAAAAATTGAAATCGCATCATATGACCCCTTTAAATTAAATAATGAAATTAAAAATGAAATAAAGTCATTGTTGCTGATACCCTGGAATTATTTTTATACACTTATTCAAAAAGACGTGCATTTCTATCAAATAAGGAAATAATAACTGAAGTAAATGTTGTCTAGTGTTATGTTTTTGTAACTTATGCCAGTAGGTGACGACAAGTGACTGACTTTATGAGTGAACAATTCAATCAGCTGATTCAGGTATGCTTAAATACATAAACTAATTGGCAGTACTATGTAAATGTTATATGTTTATTTAACTTGTATAAAACCATTGGTCTGAATATCATTCACGGCTGTGATTATTTGAAACAATAGCAGTCTTGCCATATTGCAGTACTTATTCTGCATGTTCATATTCTCCTATTTATAATTACATTGGTGGTGTCATTGTTTAAGAAACTAAATACAAAGTCTTTTTGCTTAGGCAAGGACATAGAAGTATCGGAAAAGTCATACAGTGAAGTTCAGGCTATCTTTTAAATGTGTCAGTAGAGAGCATCAGGTGACATGCATATGCATGTGTGAACTTCAAATTGATGATGCAGTTACGAGTTGCATGCAAAACTCTGGAGGCACGTTAAAAAACAGCAGAGCAGTGTTAAGGATGAAATATTACCTTCCTCATCACCTTGTGCTATGAAATATAATTAAGACCCCTCCAAATTCACGAATGCACTGGAAAGTAC